CATCATTTCCCTAGTCCTGTTTAGTTAACTTCTCAGGTAAATTCATCATCTTCATCATCATCATCATCATCATCATCATCATCATCATCATCATCTCATCATCATTTCCCTAGTCCTGTTTAGTTAACTTCTCAGGTAAATTCATCATCTTCGTTACAATTATCATGAGCAACATCGTCATTGCTATTGATAATAATAGTAATAATAATATGTCTTGTTTACCCCGTGTATCTTGATCAGTATTAATCCTGTTCCCCCGAAGGGCCTTGCAATCATATCATTAATCTTGCTTTTAATAGCCAAGCTACCATGATCATTTTGGTGCTGATGCATTTATTCCTATAAGGTATCATTTTACTTCACCTGGGTAGAGAGTGACAAATGTAGACAGGCCTGATAATTACCAGATTTTTCCCCCAATTTTTTCCTGATTTTGTTTTTCTTCCTGATTTTTTTTCCTGCCCGATTTTATTCTGATTTCCCAATTTTTTCTCTTTTTTCCTATATTTTTCCCTATTTTATCCCAATTTTCTTACTTGAAAAGGGGGGGGGGGATGTTGTAAGACACCATTTTTTTTCTTCCCGAGTCCCCCCCCCCCCCCTTCTTTTTTTTTTTTTTTTTTACTCAAAGCTGGTGTGGTCGAGGGGAAAAAGACCCACTTTTTTTTAGCGCTCACTATCAGCCCTATGTAGATTCATGCCACATGTCAGCATGGATTTTGTTTAAACACAATAATTAAATAATATTACACTCTACAATAAAATAGTTTGTTAGAAATATCTAAAACGAAATAGAGGCCTATAATGCGCAAGGTAGCCCATGTAAAAAAAGATGTTAGGTGTTTAAAAAAAAGAAGAATACAATGAAGGTTGGGGCATTGAAATAACGAAGGAGAGAGGAGACGTAATCATGCTAGATATTAAGCATGTTATACTTGAGCTGACATATTGGCTCAGTGAACGTTCTTTGACAAGTATCCACTATGCTGTGCAGGTGTTGTGGTATAGTGGCCCATCCTTTGACTCTCAATCCACGGCTTTAGGATTCAAATCTTAGTCGGGCGCTAACGTCATTAGGCAAGACATTAATCCACATTTGCCACTTTCCAGCCAGGTGTAAATGGGTACCTGGCATCGCTGGGCCGGGTAATAATAATTGCAGGGCCCGTCGGAAGAACAGCGTTCAAGCTGATAATGCTTCTCTTGGTAAACAAAATGATTACATTACATTACATTACAGGAATAGAAACACACACTACTAGGTGTCATATTAGAGCTCACTTTGAATCCACTCAAAATTATAGTGGAGCTAGTCTACTCTAAAGAAGGGGTTTGAATGAATTTTAAGAGTGGGTGATGCATCAGAAGTTTAGGATTTGTGAATATACGTACGCCATATAAGATGATGTCATCAAGTTGATTTAGGTCAACACCTTCATGTTTGTATAAGCTTTGGATTTTGAGTTTTCAGAAAGCTGATACTCCTCTGACAGAAACTAAAATGGCATATAATTGATATTATTGTAATCTATGGCTTATAAGTTTTCTGTTGATATATAATTCATCCATTTCATTTTTCAGGTCGGATATGGTCTTTAACATGCTGTCTTCAAAACAATAGATTAAATGATTTTCAGAATTAGACTCAAATCTAAAAAAATACAAAAGAAAGGAAAGAGAAATGAAATGAAAGGGCATCCTTGATACCATCTGGCTAATACAGAGAATAAATGAGACCAGTCAATTTTTCATAATTCAATGTTGTTTTATTTTCATCAATCAATTTTTATGTCTCCAGCTACGGTACCCATCATTGATATTCTACAATGGTTCTATATCGATTAAGATATGAATCTAATGTTAATTACTCTTTTTTTCCTGTCAAATTATCTGCCAAAGAACAAGAAAGGAAGAGTCAGACACATCATAATGACTAGAATGGTAAATTAAAAAAAAATTCTGTTAGATATTCCACATCCATCACACCAAGTAATTTCTGACATTCTATAATCTAGATCTTTCAACACCTTTAACTCCTACTTTTGCCATTGGTGGCAGTTGAATTCTGCTAGGGCTAAATTACATGTGCATGTCTAACAACTTATTTGCTTTAGAGCGTCTTCATAGAAATAGAAACAGTTATTATATACCTCATACATAGATTGTCATTCACTGATTGGTCAAGACTATATCACATGTCAAGGAGCATTTCGATCTATCAAGTATCATTACGTCAGAGGGGTTGATAGCTACTATCAAACCCTGGGATAGGACCCCTAACCCCTCCCGCGACTTAGTTGCGCACACAATTTTTTTGAGTTGCTAGGCTACCGCAATCGCGCGGTTACGCGCAGCGCGTAGGAATTCAATACTCTTGCCTTGGACTTGATGTTGTATTTTTCTTATTTGGGTTAGTAAATTTCTCTTGATCTCGTTTCCTGTTTTTAGAGCTAGATCTAGACCTTCAGCTAGACCTAATCATGAATCAATAAAAAGGATGAGGTATATAAAACAAATATGGACTGCTCTGTAATCGGATGATTGTGGGAACTACCACTCCCTCGGTGGTGTTCACACCGGCCCTTCTATCACCCCCTCGGCTTCGCCTCGGGGGTGATAGAAGGGCCGGTGTAAACACCACCTTGGGAGTGATAGTTCCCACCATCATCCTCATGAGCAGTCAATATTTGTATACTATTTCCTGAGGTGTATCTATGGAGTATATTCTGTGCTCAATTTATTAACAAAACAAAGCATTTTGTGCTGAAATTTGTTCTTGTATGTTTTTTCCTGCAAATGTCCAAAGAATTTGAAATGTTTTGGCAAAGTAGGGATATCACTTCTAACAATGGTGAAGGTGGAGCAATAAAGTGGGTGGAATGAGCAACAACTTACATCTTTAATTGACATTAACTTTTCATCTTGGCAAAGTTGGTCATTTTCCTTGCCAAAGTAAACAACAGCAAAAAACACTCTCTGGTGAATAAACATTGTTGCATTTTTGAAATGGCACAGGATCAGGTAATCCTTCTTTGCAGAGTACTTGCAATTGCAGAAGTGCTTGAAATTGAAAGCATTTGTGAACATAGAATGATGGTTGTGCATCATGGATGATGTGTGTATTCATGAAGCATGTATCAACTCATGTCCCATTCAGACTTGGGAAATATATGTTTCTTATACAAAAACTGTATAGCCAACGCCGTAAATTGTTATTTTTGTATATTAAAAGTTGAATAGCAATGAATAAAGAGGTACTGAAGCTTTTTGTCTTGCTCTCATCTGAGTAAATTGCAAGCCTGAATATAAAGCATGCAAGACCTAAAACTTTAGGATGCTTTAGTTGCTATTTTTTATTTTTGCAGTACCAATCATCTCTTCATTCTTAAAGTTGAAAAGAGGAAAAGAGGTTAGAGTATCTCTTCACAATTATTGAATATAGAATCAGGGTGTATGGCCTGTATAAATATTGTATCAAACAAAAACATGTAAGTAGGCGGGGCATATAAGTATTTGCTTATTATGTGATTGGCTACATCTAACTTTGTAAACTCAAACAATGCCCATGACATATAAGCTGACCTCACCAAAGCTAGTTCCATTTGAAATTTCTTTAACTGATATTCTGATTGGATGTGTATGCCCTCTTTTGCAACACTTTGTTTTTTCACACAACTTTCTTTATACAAATTTTGTCTAAATTTCATTTTGTGTGAATGCCCCGTAAAAAGAAAACGAGGAGTACTCTTGATCTGTGAAGTGTGTTTGATAATGAGACGTCCATCTATCTTGAGCTGTACTGTACCAACACAGAATTGTCACACGTTTAATAAACATGAAAAAGTGAAGGAGTCCTGTTTGAAAAGGTTAAAGCTGTCTAGGTTTGTAAACAGTTAGATAAGGGTTGTTGGGAGCCGGTATGTGATGTCAAAGGTGATGTGAATGTATGTGTTAGAACAAGAGGCTGAGTGATATGCTAAGAGTTGCAGGATGAGAGAGAGGGGGAGGGAGACAGACAAACAGAGACAGATAGAGAGAGACAGATAGACAGAGAGAGAGAGAGAGAGAGAGAGAGAGAGATGGGCAAAAGAGGCATGTATGTGGGCGTTCAATAAGTTGATAGCACGACTATGAAGGAGCAGGTATTCGGTAACTGATAGCAAATATGCATGCGCATACATTTACATAATCATCAATATGTATATGATTAACAATAGGTAAGATTCAATATTAATCAATTTTTCAAAAGTCCCAGGTACTTCAATTTGAACAGCTGCTCTAATACCTAGGTGGTGGTGTTGCTGAACTTCAATATTGTCACCTGTAATGAAACCATAAATATTTATAAGACATAATTACTTCATCGAACACTGGCTCCTTCATAGTTAGGCTATGAACTTATTGAATGCTCCTCATATATTGAATATGTTGATTAGAAACAAAGGAAAGATTTTAAAAAATGTTCAAATTGCAAAATGTTTGAATCAGATAGAATCATTGTAATTTAGGAAAGTTAAATACCGGTAATTCACCTTTTTTTGTGTGTAGAAAATACATTATAGACTTATAGCATTAAAAAAGTGATCTTTTATGTTCTTACAAGGTTGAACATTTGGGGGTGTGGTAATGTGCTTTAAAAGGGTTTCTTGTTAGTGAGATCGAACATTAGGGCATGATTAAGTTTGGGGGAAGGGGGATGAGTTGAACCTTGACATGTATCCTTATTTCTCTACCTGTTCTTTCCACGACCCAATCCCGTTTACTGACAGGGGAAGGGGGTTTAGGGACGAGTTGAACCTTGACATGTATCCTTATTTCTCTACCTGTTCTTTTCACGACCCAATCCCGTTTACTGATAGGGGAAGGGGGTTTAGGGACGAGTTGAACCTTGACATGTATCCTTATTTCTCTACCTGTTCTTTCCACGACCCGATCCCGTTTACTGACAGGGGAAGGGGGTTTATGGACGAGTTGAACCTTGACATGAATCCTTATTTCTCTACCTGTTCTTTCCACGACCCAATCCCGTTTACTGATAGGGGAAGGGGGTTTAGGGACGAGTTGAACCTTGACATGTATCCTTATTTCTCTACCTGTTCTTTTCACGACCCGATCCCGTTTACTGATAGGGGAAGGGGGTTTAGGGACGAGTTAAACCTTGACATGTATCCTTATTTCTCTACCTGTTCTTTCCACGACCCGATCCCGTTTTTGTTCCCCGCTCAACTGGTACAGGAAATATTTCTGGTGGTTTTCTTCAGTTGTGAGTACGTGGTTCGGCTCTGGTCAGCAGGCTGCAGGCAGCAATACCAAGGACTCAGAGGGCGTCTCAGGTTCGCAAGGAAACCAATTCTTATTATAGGTGAGTCACTATTTCTTTCCTCCCTTAACATTTAAGCGAATTTAGAACTTGATGTGATAATTAAAAGCCTTGAAACCTACCACTACTGCAAAAAAAACAAACATGTAGGCAGTGTGTGTCACACATTTTTTTCAAAATTCATTTTTTTGATTTTTTTCTTCAAAGATGGTTTTACGTTTGTTAGCAAGGCTACAGAGCTTTGTTCAATTCTGGCATTTTTGTGAGAAACTATGAATAATAATAATAATAGAGAATATTTATGAAGCGCATAATAAGTTGAAAATTTCTCTATGCGCTTTACAATCATGACAAATTTGAATTTATAAACAACATTAATACAACATAACAAAATAGATAATCAAATGACAAAAAGTATTTATGGAAAAGTTAACCAATGCACCAAAATGAACACCCTTTTTGTTTCCTGCAGGCAATTTAGTAGTTGTCTTGAACATATTGTGGTATAGATTCTGTTATACTTAATGAAGAATTTGTTACTTTTGAAATGCATGTAAGCTCACATTGTGTCATTTACAATAGTACTATCCAGAGCAAAAGCCAGTGGAAATCAATAATCTGTGTATGAGATATGCATAGAAATGGAGGAGAAACATGGACAATAGTTTGCAACACACATCATTACACTACATGTATATATATTGAGATTCAATTCTCTACCCTTGCAGGGGGTAAAATGGACATGGTGCATCGCATAAAGATGATGGACAGCCTGAGAGAGAATGCCCAATCAGAATAATTACAATAATGGGAGTGATTATCATGCCACAAAATGGCAAGGCTGTCTTTCTGCATTATCAATATTTATTTTCCCAAATGATGATGGGCTGTCGTCTGAAATGTAAATGGAGAGTGAGGTCAGCTTGTATGGCCAAGTCAAATCTTTCTTTAGCAAGTGTTAAATTTGTGTAGTCTCGGAAAGGATTTTTGTGAAATAAAAGTAAATTTGTTCAACTCTTTTCTGACTTTGGTTGACGAATGGAACAAGGACTGGATTGCCATTGTCAACGTTTGTCACACATGCAATGTACATGTGATGTGCAAGTCAGCTTATGCTATGGTTATCTCTTTCCAATCTCAGAAGTCCCGTAGATAATTCTTAAAGAGACTTGTGACTAATTATGTAGATGTACTAACAATTTTTCCAATTTGAATTCTTCCATCAGTATATTTTACACAATTTAAATGAATAAATGAATGAAGAGAATGATAATAAATTAATAAATATATCAATAAATGAATTAATGAAGAGATAGGTAATAAATGAATGAATATGTCAATGAATAAATTAATGAATAAAATTAATAGTCAAATAAATAAATGAAATGGTGTAAATAAATGAATGTATGAATAGTAAATTAGAAACACAGTTTTCTACAAAAATGCTTTTCTGCATAATGTTGGTTATCAAGATTAGCAATATAACCTTCCAGCTGCTCCTCAGTTCGAGAAATTGCTGATATGAATAAGAAATAGGCAAGCACCGACATCAAGAACAAAATTGAAAAGAAAGATGGATATCTTAATTGGTGGTTAGCAAATGCAGGTTGCTTGTAATTATCTGCCCCATGCAATGCTTGGTTGGAGTTGTTATGTCATGTGTTTGGAGCAAGAAGGTCATTCAATCCTATACTTCATCCTAGATTATACACCCTTTTGGCTCTTAACACTCTGTGTGGTGTACGGTAGTGACCCTCCCTTTGACACCAATCTGGATTCTAAGGTGTAAGAATTGGCGCAGGTGCACAGTCCCTGCCCTCTTATCTAGCACCATGGCTAGTCTTCACACCAGGCTGCCCCATTTCAAAGACTCTTTGGATTTAAACATGTTAAAAAATATTGTATTGGAGATCGTAAGACGTGTCTCACAAATTGCAACTGCATCGTCAAATGTAGAGTGAAGCTTGAAGTATTTGGCTGACTAGTAGAACAAATAGTAGGCTGACTGCCCAGTTGACTTTTGTGGCATGTACTTGAACAATGTAATGCAAAACAACATCCCAGACTAGCAGCTCAATTTGGAGCATATACAGGTTTGATTCTTTGGAATGTCCTTGACTGAAGGCTATGTTCCTCTGTAGGGTACAGGCATTATTTTGGTTGAACAGGGAGTGTGATGGTACAAGTGATTAAAATATTTGAAAGGAGACAGGAAGAATCTTTGGGAAGTTATGAGCTCTGTTTTTTTTAAAGGGAAGAAAGTATTTTTTAATTCTATCTGTAAGAAATCTCTTTTTACAACACACCGAACTCTAAATGAGTATCATAAAGTCTACTGAATATTTATTGCATCACAACCATAAAACGTGAAAATGTAATTATTGAACAGTGTGGAAAATAGAAAGGGGAATGGAATACTGTACAGTTATAATTGAAACATGGCACTGTGAAACATTTTATCTGTTCACATCACTGGAAGAGAGGAGTTATCTAATTCCCACTTTTTTAATGGATGATACCTTAAATCTTCTTTGTAACGTAAGGCATCAGTTGAAATTACGAACTGTACAATATCAATATGGTAGTACCATCAGTTTCATTTAACATTGTCTTTCCAAAAATATGGAAATGATAAAATGGTATCTATATTCAAAATGAATTGAATACAAATTAATCAGAGAATCGCACCATCTTTTCTAATGTTTAGGCTCCTTATATTGAAAACTTTTAGTTGATTGAAATACTCAAGGTGACAGAATGTAGACATAGGAAGTAAAGTTTCATTTTAATCTTGTCCTGCAATCTGTCATTCTTTTGAAAACAATCTTGTTTCAAACCTTCACACCTGCTGTTTTATCAGTTTGTATCTTTGCCATTTGATAAAGAGAATTGGCTACCGCTAATTAATTTGATTTTATGTCTCAACATAGTTACAGAGCAGAGCCAACATTTTCTTTATACTTATCTTGTGCAAAAACTTCATCTAGATTGAAATCCACATGCATGTTATGATAGCACATTTGGAGAAAATGTACAGGGCATGTATAGTAACAAATTTAAAAACATGATTACTATTAAATTGGCGACATTTGTCCTGATTAAATTGCTCTTCATACACGGTACTTTTAAATTGAATTCTGAAAGTCTTGTTGTCTGCAGCACTCATTGTTAAAAAAAAAAACTACTTCAGTGCATCTACATTTTTATCAACAAATTTAACAAAATGTGGCTTCACCAGGAAAAGATTTATTGTGTATTTTAGTCAATGTACTGGTCTTTCCATTTTTGCAAAATTTACTAGCTTACACTGACAGAATGCCCCTCAATGTGCTGAGGGGCAGAGGATATTGAATCATATCTTTCAACATGAATAACCTTATTGCTTTTAGTGGTGGCCTAACCCCTGAGAGTCACTGACAGGTTGCACAATCGAAACCTGAGCAGATGGAAAAATAGTGATTTATGTAAAAAAGATAACAAGAAAAATAAGGGGTAAGGTTTTAGTAAGATTTAATTTATTAATAAGTTAGAAAAAATTAATCAACTGTATAGCTCTGGTGAGAGCTAAAATGATATTAACTCTATTCAATCTAATTCACTTGATTTTAATTTTAGTTTATTAAAAGAGAACATACAATGCTGTAATCCATAGACTAATTGTTCATTGTTTACAATGTAAACCTGCACCTGAATAGTAATTTTAATGGAAATCTTGAGTTAGTTATAGCATTACCTAGTAATACTTTACATGTATATTAAATATTCTGTCTCCATGTAAGATTTATAAGTTACAGCCCCTCTGGTCCCAGCAAATTGGTACATATTATTGGAAAGCTGCAAATCTCTACACAAACATACAATAAGAGAGAAGGAATTCTGACTGCTTTTTGGTATTTTAGAAATGACAGGTCATAAATCATTTGTTTGGTGCCACATGTTCTTATGTACTTTAACATTAAACAAAAAACCTCTTCAATTGTGATATTTGGGAATTATTATTTATACAAATTAATTTTGTGAAAAAACCCATGTTTTTTTACCTTAAAAACTGTGGTGTTAATTAATCTGTTAAAGTTGGTATCAAAGTGTCAACATAACTTTCTCATTTATTTTAGCATACAATACATATCTGACTCTATTTAGAAGTTCTCAAGCGTCATGGTGTATCAAAACTATGGAGAGATCTAAAGTTAGTGTCAAGTTACATGAATGTGATATCCACCTTTATACATTGTATGTTTCAAATCATTTGTTTTCCTCCCATCCTCACAACTAAGGGTTGTGGGTCACGGATTCATTCACCAATGCTCTCCTCTGTCTCTCTCCTCTCTCTCTCTCTCTCTCTCTCTTTCTCCTCTCTCTCTCTCTCTCTCTCTCCCTCTCTCTCTCTCTCTCTCTCTCTCTCTCTCTCTTTCTCCCTCTCTCCCTCCCTCCCTCTATCTCTGTTGTTTGTGCATTCAGCAAGGTATCTCCTTGTCCCTAGTTTGATATGATCTTCCATCTCCTTCTTTGCCTTCCTCTTGACCTTCTCCCATTGATTAGACCCTCAAGGATGAGGGAGGGTACAGAGAATTAGGGTCTGGATGATATGTTCAAATACTGCAGTTTCCACTTCATCACCAATTCTATAAAACAAAGATTTGCCTAGTTAAAAAAGAAAAGTTTTATTAAGAAAGGGTTTAAGATAGGATCAACTAACCATGAGTTATCCATTAAATAAAATCTTTCATGATCGATGATGATTCAGTCTTCCATGATTGTGTAATAGAAGACATTTGTACTACAGCTCAGAGCTACATCAAATTAATCTCCTTTCTTGTCCCATCTTCAAGAATTGACCCACTATACTCTCCATCTCGTAGCATGCATCCCACCAAGCAAGGTATCTACCCTCCTCTTCCCTCATCTGATCAATTCATTTTTACTGGGTTCATTGTTATAATATTGACCATGTCGACAAAAACGAAACGTATCGACCGCGCTGCACAAATAGCAGTGTTTCGCAGGCTTGTGAAAGCGTGCTTTCCTCCTTCAAACGTGAT